TAGCGCCAAACTACCTTTAAACTTCTCCAATATTGCACAGATAATATTTGAATCAAGCCTCAGTGGATACTAATCAAAACTAAAGCACAGAAGGAGAGTTTACATTTTACTGTTACTTTAACATTCAAACTAAGATCCCTTTAAGTGAATTATTAATAAATTATATTAGTAAGTCCTCACAACCACAAATTCTATGTGATAAATATTAATCAATCCTTTGACAAAAGGGTTACACTGCATCATACCTTAGTCCACTTAAGGCTAAGAAGTAGATGTACAATAACTCAAAATCTCTTACTGTTTAATGGTAGTTATAATTATTTAAAAATTAATATCATACCTGTCTTCTGTAATCTCTGTTAATTATTTTGCATTTAGATAACAATTTCCTCATTTGTATATAAACTCTTTCATAGCACATCTAATACACACCACACCCACAAGAACGTTTGGCAAATCGAAAAGCACAACAAAATTACAAAATCAAACAAAGCAACAACAGTTTTTCTTCTCCAGCCCCAAACATATTTCATATTGAGCATCAGCTAGAAGATGTAATAAAAGAAAAGATCCCTTTCCACAGTGCATTTTCCTCCAAATTAAAACTCCAAGCTCATCATAGCAGCTTTCCTTCAAAATCATGCTTAAGTAAAGGGCCGTATGTAAGCCTTGAGATAAATGAAAGCAACAGCTAGCAACAGAAAAGATTTTGGCAGAATTTTAATTTTGAAAGTAGAATTGATATAATTATTTACTAATAATGCTCACATTTTTCACCTCTGTATTCTTGGAGCAGTGATTGGGAGAAACATGATGTGGTTGAAGAGAAATGATTAAGGAATGCTTTGTCTCTTCTCATTTGGTAAACTGATCTTCCCTGTCCTTCCCAAGAAAAGAAAGATGCCTCATAAAAGAAACCGATCGCTTTTTTTACCATTTACATTTCTTGGATCTTGTTAGTTAACATCATTTTTATTACATCACATGTTAATTGATTTTCTCCTTGTTCCATGATAGATACAAATGAATGCAGGTACAACATATGAAAATGGCCGTAAGAGAGAGGCTAACTGGGCATATAAGCATGATTCATAAAATGAAAACATTATAATGGTCATATTATTTGCATTTATGACCTCAAATAACCATCTACTAAGAAGATGCTCTCTTTCTCTCTCTTTTTACATGCAGGCACAAGCACAAAAAATGGTGCTCTTTCCAGTATTTTTTATTAACTATGGAATTTATTATATAAATTACATGAGCATTATAAAGCTAAGTCAGATAGGTAAATAGGGAGAGGGCATGAGATTAAATTTCAACTTCACAGAAAAATCTGTTTAGAATCAAAACTATGAATGTGAACCTTTTGATGTGTTTATTGAAAGAAAATAGACTTCCTCTTCCTCCATGTTGGGACATAGCATCTTGAGATATGATATTGAGCGATCATAAAAGGCATTTGTTTTATAGTAAATCTTTCCTGGAATGGAAATTAGAGCCACATGCCTTTTTAAAGGGCTCAGTAACTACAAAAAGGATATAAGTACACAGTGGTTTATTAAGAATGCTCCCTAGCCTTAGCACTTCTCAAAATAGGCATAATACAGTACAGACTATTATTTCAGAATATAGATGCCAAAGATATGACAATTTCAGTTTTGAAGGGATTCTGCACACTGCAAAATGTACACAATATTGCCAAAAGTATTCGCTCACCTGCCTTTATTCGCATATGAACTTACAATATTTAACCTGTGATTATGTCTTCCTGACTGAATTGCTGTTAGTATTTTTTCCCCTTTGGATTCATTGTTGAGTCGCTGACACTGCATTAGTGCCCATAATGTGGCTAGATATTTCCTTAGTCTACTTCATGCTTCATTCATTTTTATTATCCTACAGATAATAATGAGACTTCTCCAAATTAATGACTTTTTTCATTATTCTTTGTGCTAATTATAGTTAAGTTATTTTATCAGAATGATTTTCATTTATCTGTTCTGTATTGGGTAGAGAATTTGTAACAAGATCCATTAGACATTAGTCAGCAGAGATCTGGAGCATGTGGCATGTCCCTATGGGAATGTAAGAGGCAGACA